AAATAGCTGTGGCAAAGACAACTCTAACAGTGAGTTGTGTGGTGAATTTACTTCTTTTTGTTAACAGCTATCATGCGTTGAGAGCATGGATTCTAAAAGTGGGAATAAAGTTTAATTAGTGTTTATGGTAATTACTCAATAATGAATCAGGCAATGATCACACACACAGGAGCTAGAAATGTAGGTGATTGTGCAACCTTTTCGTTCATTCTCACACAAACTTTTTTCCATACTTTTAAATATTCGGTATGTCACAAAAATTGTCACGTGATTCAGTACTTCGATTTTAAATTTGATTGGCTAATGTCCAGAGGTGGGAAATAATTTTTCCGAGTGGGCCAACTGCAGATAATAGACTTGGTTTCTGGGCCGGACTCTTTGAACTCAATATTATAAAAAAAAAAATTAATTACAACAGCTACGGCCCAGCGGTTTCTACCCCTTTTTATATCGCGGCACACTAATGAGCACTTTAAATATTCGCGGCACATCGAGTGATTTCCCCATGTTTTTTGTGTAACAAGACATAAGTAGCCATTCAATGCCATATGCTAGATGAACAAGTAACCTCATTAGTCACTATCAGTTGCAAATTACTTATTGAAAGCCGTGCTTGTTATTTATTTCTCGGGAATTCTAACACCTAATTAACAAAAAATCTAAATCTAAAATCAAGCTTAGAGCCTATTTTGGTGTATATTTTTCAAAGTTTTCTCAGAGCGCGGGGAAAACGGGGAATCTATTATGGCGTCATATTTTCGTGAGAGATATTCTACTGTCATAAACGAATTTTTCAAATAATAACTAATAAGCAAGCATTTTGGTATTAACTTGGATTTAGAAACAATATAAATCTCCTTCATATTACCCGATTTCAAGATGGGGAGACCCGAACACGGAAAATTCATATTTTAACATTAAAACATAGCGTGTGCAAGCCTCCTTCAATAGATAGTTAGAAGCGCTTGGAAAACTTAAAGCTTTCTGGCTTCTTAATGGAAATTTGACTTTACAATAACCACTGAAATTCTGGAACTTCTATTTTTGACCACGAAGAATTCAGAATTTCAAACCCATCATACGAATCCGGAAAATTGAAAAAACGACTCCGGCACTGACTACAGTAAATTCCCATTCCACAGGTCTGGTTCTAACGAGGGCTGGGCACTTGGAATCGAATATTCAAACCGAATCAAATAGTAAATTATTCGAATCTATTCAGAAAAAAATTCCAAAATGTCGTCATCTTTTTGGGCAGCCAAAGTTCGAGATGAATTCCCTAATTTTTTTATTGAAGCCATATTTTAAAAACGCTTTTAAAATTATTTAATTTTGAGTTGCCACGGAGATTTTTAGCTTATTTTCGCACCATATTTTACACAAAATAATTTAAGCAAATGAGGTTACGTTTATTGTTTAAAGTTCTTCAATACCTGTTTTGATAACACAAATTCGGAATATATTTCCATTATTCATGTCAAACTTCGAAATCATAACATGGGATTTATTAAATATTAAATTCGGAGGAGAAGAAAGTCGATAAGACGGACTAATCATATGGCGATCCACGGCCTATCGTCCAGTTACCAGTCCACATAAAATATGAGATCAGTTAGCTATTATTTGTTTTCATATGCATGGACTTAATGATGGAGAAAGCTGTAACCGACCAGCGTTGAATTAAACCACCCAGGAATCCTCTCGCCTCCACGCAGGGTAACCAGAGATGCGATGGTAAGCGTGTCCGCACAGCAAGATGCACCAATCGCCAATAAATGAGACAACGTAATAGAGAAAACTATTCAATGTGAGATATTCGAAACGATATACGAGATATTCCATAGCGCAACGCTACTAATATTTTACACAAATTATTTTAAGCAAATAAGGTTACGTATATTCCGAAGTCTCTGTCAACCCTGGATAATCCCGGTCCTTCCAAATGACAATAACCCGTTAAATATCGTTAGATATCAATGGCTGCTTGCACAGGGCCTTATTCGGAGAGAAAGACCCTAACAAGCTTAGTATAGTATATATTAAGTCGAACGCTTCAACAGCTTGGCCATTGCGCCTTCTAAAAATTATTGTGCCGACGTCAATCACCCGGAAATAGCTGTGGCAAAGACAACTCTAACAGTGAGTTGTGTGGTAAATTTACTTTTTTTGTTAACAGCTATCATGCGTTGAGAGTATGGATTCTAAAAGTGGGAATAAAGTTTAATTAGTGTTTATGGTGATTACTCAATAATGAATCAGGCAATGATCACACACACGGGAGCTAGAAATATAGGTGATTGTGCAACCTTTTCGTCCATACTCACACAAACTTTTTTCCATACTTTTAAATATTCTGTATGTCACAAATATTGTCACGTGATTCAGTACTCCGATTTTAAATTTGATTGGCTAACGTCCAGAGGTGGGAAATAATTTTTCCGAGTGGGCCCTTACAAGTAATAGGCTTGGTTACTGGGCCGAACGCAATATGAAAAAAAAAAAGTTTATTCACAACAGCTAGGCTAACGTTTATATAATCATAATTTAAGCAGACACAGGTAGCCCGGATGAAACACACGCGAACAATATTTTTGTGGGAAATCTACCATGTGTGGGAATTACAAGGGGGAATCTTACTCGAGTGCCACTATATCACTTTATACTAGCGCTTATTACCTCTTTAGCTCTTTACTTAGATTACTAGGTTTAACCCCAATGCACCCAATAAGTTATTCCCGAAGTATGTGAACCAAGATTGCGGACATTGAAACCTAGTATGTATACCAGGTTAAGGTTAGGCCATAATTTTAAGTACAAATTCTACAAGAGAGTCACTTGTCTAGTCCACAAACTCGTAATAGAACTGAAACAAGGAAAATTGGAATAAAATTATGGCCAAACCGTAGCCTGGTACACATACTACGTTCCGGTGTCCGCCATCTTGGTTCACATACTTGGGCATAATTCCCGAATACTAGTAGCCGTTACCTATCAGGGGTAGTTGATGTAAGGCCTTATTCAGAGCAATCGCCGTAAATAAGTGCCATGTGTGGAAGGTAAAATTAATGTTTTTTTCAATTTATCAAAATTTTTAAGTAATTTTTTCGTCAATGAAATTCCGACTCTTGACAAATCACATGATAAAACGTAAACATTGCAAATTTTCATAGTAGCAAAATCCAACTCGTTTTAGTCCCTGAATCGCGGTATTTCAATGCATTTCGACTACGTGTGATATGTCAATTTTTGAAAATATAATGAAGACTTTGATTAAAATTATAATCAGAACATCTTAGTGATATATTTAGTGTTAATGGGCTGTTTGCACAGAAAGTAAATGATTGACGTGAGCTTTCGCGATTTTTTAAACGATAATGATCTCGTATAATCACGATTGAGTTTTGGAAATGCGATACTTTGAAATCATGGCGTCACCTCTGAACAATACAAAGAAAATTAGGTTGAGCGATCTGTAGCTGGAATTGCACAGGAAGTTTTGATGATCAGGTTTTCAGCGTCATATGCTATACCATACCTACATATTTGATAAATGTTATCTAGTGCCAGGCTTGGGGCAAAGGTCTATACATCCATTTGGAAGCCAATCTAACTTATTTATCCTAGTTCAACTGTGGCACAAACATAAGTTCATCGCACTAACACATGGCCATGGAATATTGTGATCAACTGAACAGACATATGCGACTCAAATCGCTTGCCCATCTATGAAATCAACTCACGTAACGCCGAACAAGTTCATGTGACATCTGCTACCTTACATTGATATATGGCGAACCGGGGTGGGTACCGGGGTTAGGGGGCACCGTCATTAAATGCGAGGGCTGAGGCTTCTCCGTACATAATTTGCACTGAGTTAAAAGACGCAGCCGGTACCAGAACTAGTGTTGAGTGTAGCTTTAGCTGATCCATACATTTGTGTAACTGGTTCATAAAAGGATTTTGTGTGCGCCTTGTGGTCCGTAAAATACGGCATACTGACTTGCTCGAATCAGCCAGAAGTCGCTTCAAAAATTTCGCGGATGAATAAAAAAAAATAATAATAACTTTGTACAACCAAGAAGTCGTTTTATCCTTTTACTAGCTTTTTAACTTGGTACAAAATCATGATTAAAGTTACTTTACAAGCTTTGCGTGTAGCGAATCCAAGGCTGTTCAAATCTCTATTTCATAACGACTGGAAGTTGGCGACGCGGCGTTCAAGGTGGCGATTTCTTGTTCTGCTCTTCCAAAGCAGGTGAACCGAGTATTCGACGTCCAAAATCCTATATTCGACGTTCAAAATTCTATATTTGACGTTTGAAATCCTATATTCGACGTCCAAAATCTTATATTCGACGTCCAACATCCTATATTCGACGTTCAAAATTCTATATTCGACCTCCGAAATCCTATATTCGACTGGTGAACACCGCTAAACTGTTATTCGAGAGGAATTTCCGAGACCAGAAGCATCAGACTTTTGACACCGATAGTTACCAAACGCCACGATCTTGGTGACGATTCGTGCATTACGCTAAGAAAATAGGGCCGTGCATTGAAAACATTAAAGAATGAAATTTTTGTCAAAAAAAAAAAAATTATCCGCCACCGCTCAAAATAAAATAATCAGTAAATATCCAGTTAGGGTGAAGGCTAGGAATTCAGAATCATTATTGAGCCTAAACTTTTAATATTTAGTTAATATACTTATATCTACCCAGAATGCGCCAGCAAAATCCGTTTCGCCAAGGGCCCCGCAATATTGGGAGCGGGCAAGACATGTTTGGCCTGTATTCTCATAAATTCGGAAACATGGTGGCGGTTAATATGCCATATCGCGCAAAATTCGACCAAACATTGCTCTCACGGGCGTGGTTGTGACGTCGTCGTCATCGTTTCATAAAGATAGAAAGAGCAGCATTTAACAAACTCTCTTTTTTGTGACGCAACACGTATCCTAAAATTTAAAAGAGAGAAAACAATTTATCTTTCCGTTTTAGAGTAGTGAGTGAGCTTGCATGAGATATATTCCGATGCAAATAGACTGAAGCTTCATTTTAACCTACGTTGTTCGAACATCGACTCTCATTGAAGAAAAAAAAAGACGAAATTTTTGCATTCGAAATGCAGATTCCGATTCGACCCAGTTTCATCGGACTAATACTGTTGGTGGAGGCGTATTTATTGATTAAAGGTCAGTATAACCGTGCGTGCTTTGTTGGTTTGCTTGCTTGCCTGTGTTTTGTTTTTTGGGGCGCACTGTAGTATTTTCTTCGAATATTTAATACCAGCTGGTGAGGTACTCCTTACTTTATTCCATAGTGTTAACGCTGTTTTTGGCACTCCAGAAGTATGTGCAGCAAGATGGTAGGCACCGAAACGCCGTATGTGTACCAGGTTAGGTTAAAAATTATGGCCTAACCTGGCACACATACGACGTTCCGGTGTCCGCCATCTTGGTGCACATACTTCTGGAGCGCCGTTTTTTTAATCGGGTAGTATTAATTGCTGATTCTACTAAAGCAAAAAGTAAAATAAACATTGAAAACCTCCTCAGCGATTTTCAAACATGAAAATTATTGATTTGTACAGAGGGTTAGTTATCTAAAAATTATATGAAGACTCCAAAAATCAGGCCATTAATATTTTAAAGGCATGAACGCTTTATTCTCTTCTAACTATTGAATCCAGATTAACGAGTACATTTATAAGATGTTAAATTCTAGAAATAAAGTGTTTTTTCATCGCCTTTTCGCACAATTTTTGGCGCTCCGGGAGTATTCGTACCAAGATGACGCACAACCTGAACAACCTCAATTTGGTACACATACTATGTTCAGGTTGTGTGCCATCTTGGTACGAATACTTCGGGAAACACCCGTTGATCAGCGCTTTAGCTAATATATGCGGCATGGCGACACTGTGAATTGACATAGTTCTATTGACAAATTTCTTATCTGTTTCTCGCGTCACGGCTGGTATATTTGTATCTGGGGGAATATTTATTTATTACGACGTAGAGGAAGCCGGTATGGCGGTGCAATGCTATGACAAACCTCGGTCTTTCGATGACGGTTAAACCGACATTTATATTTAAAATAATGATATTTTATCTGATAGCTTTTTCCCTCGAACACCTCGTTTATTTTGCCACGTATTGAATGCGTTGCTGTACCGTAAAAAGGCCGGGTTTACCAGGCAACGTAAGCTAAAGATTATGGGCCTCAAATCTTAGGGGACTCGGCATTCCATTTTAAAACTATTATTAGTTTCAAGTCGTTTTTAAATTGTAAAAGATTGTTCCAGAGTAAAACAGGGTTAGAATTTTTTAAAGCAGATATTAATCAAATAAATTCTCGTCCCGAATATTTACCGTTTTGAAAATTAAAAGCAGTGAAATAATGAATTTGTATAAATTTGAAAAACGGTGCTCCGGTTTCGTGGTATTTTGTTACGGCCAGAGTTTCTAAATCAACTACCCAATCTACTTGGACGATTTGCTACGTATTTTGCCAGCAGCTAAAATGCCACGCAATTCATTTATGACGCCATAATTTAAGAGGAGCCTCACAAACAGCGCAGCCTAGGGCCTCTTATCGTCGAAATTCCGTCCTGACCGTGGATCTTACTAAATGATCCCTCCTTCATTGTAAAACTTTTTTTGGCTTCGCAATCTCCTATGAAAGAATTTTTTTTGTTTTTAAACTTACATTTTAAATATCGTCACGTACGCTCAAATGTTTAGAAGTGAAAAATCGCTTATAGATTAGCGGGTGTGGTGGCCCATTGGTAAAGCGTTTGACTGAGATATTCTGGCATCGCGAGTTAGAATGTTGGGTTCAACTTCATACCCACCACCTCACCCAGGGTGTTGTTAACTGATTAAGCAATGCCGAATCAACATTACGTATTAATGGCCGTTCGTTCACAGAGAGTCTTGTTCGGGTAGAAAGGCGTATAGAGGTAGCAGCAAACTAAGAGGAAATTCAACTTTCCCGAGTTTATTGCTTGCTAGAAAAACTGAAACGATATTCAGAAACCAGAAATTGAATTGCGGTGATCGGTCGGATTTTCGCCCACGCCCGCAAGACCGCTAAACATTGTTAGGTTTCCCAATGGCGGGCGTAATTTTACAAATTTGATTCGACCAATCATCATCGAGGAAAATAGTGCGTTCGCATGACGTGGGTAGCAGTATGAAATTAAATATGGAATGAGCGAATGCGCGCCATAAGGAAATAGGTACTGAACTAGTCTCGTTATGAAAAAAGTTCAGTAACATAACTTTCGTTTATCTGTCATAAACTTATTTTTAAACTGTTATTTCGCTCGACTCTAATTCTAATTTCCTCTTAACAGGTGAGCAATGCTGGATGCCTATGATTTGCGACGATCAACCTACTTGGAGAGACGTTAATACGGTGAGAGCTGTAGTAGTAGTTTCATACTGGTGGTATTATTGCAGGAATTGAACTGTTTTGTTTGCAATCTGAAAATAAAATGAGAAAATTGAATTTTCTAGAAATTTCTTCCATCATTCTATAAGTACCGAAACTCATCTTAATCGATACCTCATCCCAGATTTTACGTTTTTCATTTAATTCATGGAGACACTTTTTCACGGCATATGATAACCCTTGCTCTGCTGAGCCCTTACTGCACGGATGTGCAGCCTTCATATCCGTATATTAAAATATTTCTCTCTTGTTCTATTTCAGGAGAGACAGTGCACAAAAGAACAAGAGGAGGCTCTGGAAGGTTCGTGTCCACAATATAGTTTTCTTCGAAAAACGTTTGCCATGTTTTCATATTCGTCAAACAATCGTTTTATTAAAAAATTCAATTATTTTATATTTTTATTGCGCCATTTTGAAGAATTGAATCATGACGTGTAGTTTAGCAATACCCGTCTCATATTCTTATTTTTACCCAGAGAGAGAGGGTACATATCTTCCAACAAAAAATTCACTGATAATGGACTGTGAAACTGATGGCTCAATTTAATGTTTGTTTATATTTATGTTTCCCAGCTTTAACGGAACAAGTACACGAGACGGAAAGTATGCTCGATCAATTACAAAAGAGGTTGGAAGATTTGGGTACGAACTCAGTGCAGCCCTCTGTTGTAGATGTCAAAGAAACGACCACTCCCCAGGGTAAGAAAATCTAAGTCTTTCAAGCATGCAAAAGTCCTCTTCAGTCATAGTAATTAGTAATACGGCGATTATGCAAAAACGTTGAAAAACAAAAAGTTTGCACTGCCAATCAGTATCTCATTCTTTCCTTAAAGCACTTAAAACTATGAATCTTGCTTTAAAATTGTAATATAAACTCACTTTTTCACACAGTATACAAAGACAAGAAAACTACCGCCCCTGCTACATCCCCGTGGTCAACTAAGGAAGCCTTTTTCTCTACTTTTCGCCCACAAACTACAAAAGTCGAACAGAGTACAGGTTGGTGTGGCCTCCTCTTTCTCGTTTTTCACTCGGAAAATATTTCTCCTCTAAGCGCTTTTTAGTACGCGTCAAATATTTTAAGTAGGAATTCCTCAGCACCTGAGGTCCAGTAAAGGTAAATTGTGACACTTCCAAGAAAAGTACATCCTTATGTACTAGTAATTGTCTTCTCTAGCGCCTTTCGTGGAGTAAGATGTGAAAACGTATCACAAAAACACTAAGTGTATTTACTTGATTATAAGTTATTAACATTCGCCTAAAAGATTATTCTTGAAAAATGATTTTATTTATTCCCACAAGATGGCGTACATAGTCTGAGCGTGCCTCACTTTATGATCTTCTGACCTTTGGTGCTGTCGTTCGCTCTGCGATTCGAGAAATCGGCGTGTAAAGTAGTTTAGTACAACAAGTACTTCGGGCGTAGCATAACAATTTGGCAGTGGTCATTCCTGACCATCATCTGACTACGTCATCCAAAAAAATATAAATTCTTGCGAAAACGTTCGTATATTTTGGCGGGTCTTTTTTGGATGACGTATATAATGGTTTAAATTTGGATGACAGAGGGAGGAATGCCACATGCTAAAATGGTTATGCTACGCCCACTAGAAGTACTTTTGGTACTCAACTATACCAGACCGTGATTTCTCGAATCTCACAGCGAAACGACAGCACCAAAGGTCCGAAGGTCATAAAGCGAGGCAACGCTCAGACTATGTACGCCATCTTGTGGGACTAAACTGAACGTACTAGACCCAGAAATCGCTGTTCCTCACGTTTTTTTTTGTTCATTTTTGGTAGGTGAGTTGTTTTCTTACAAATAAAAAGTTAAGCTATTCCATAGCAAGTCCAGCTTGAACCTTAGTTTAGTACTTTTAGTGGCGTGTAGTGGAGTTGTCCGCATCCCCATATGACTGACCGATAATCTGACTACGCCATCCAAAAATCACAGTGATTTTATCTGGACGGTCGTCCAAAACGTGCTTCCGATAACTACAGGGATGGTGACTCCTCTACGGCCCATGGGCCGGGGCCACAGTCCATCTAATTTGGCCACATAGGCCGTGGCCCATCAAGCTATGGGCCGCGGTCCATCAGAAAAAATTGAATTATCCTACCAAAATTTTCGGGTCTAATGTAGTTTCGTACCTAACATACTTCTAGTGGGCGTAGCATGAAAATTTTTTCACGTATCAATCCTAACCCCCACCTGACTACACCATCCAAAAATTACGTCATTACGACGTCACAGTGACGTACAGACGTAATAGAGCCCTTCAAACTATAGGAACTGCCATCCAAGATGCGCAAACGAGCAACCGAAATCGAACAGTTATTTCTCTCGTTTTCTCGTTGCAACGATTCCAATAGGAGAGAGATCGATAACGTTAGTCAGTTCTTTATCGTCGGCGCCAATGCCATTTCGGTCGATCTTGCGTATATTTGGCAAGCTCTATGACATGATTGTGATGTCGTAGTGATTTAATTTTTGGATGGCGTACCGTAGTCAGATGGTGGTTAGGATAGACATTTCAAAAAATTGTTTTCTCAAAATGAAAACTCGTGACGTTGTCAACCTTTTTATTTTCTTTTTATTTACGTTTTTATTTTTAATTTTTTTTTTACATTTCATTTTATTTTTTTTTATGTTTTTTCACAACTATTTTTTTATTTCACTTTTATTTTAAGTTTTTTTATTTTATTTTATATTTTTTTCTCCAATTTTGCGCGTGACAACGATGGGCCACAATAGAAGTGTTTGTGCGACTTTAAATACCGGTACTATTTAGTACATTTGCGTAGAATTGCTGGTCAAAAAAAAAGTTGAATCAGAGCAAAAATGGACGTATGACCTTTGACTCCCAACATTATTATCATACTTTGCTATTAATTTTAAGAGTGTTTGTGAGACTTTAAATATCGGTACTATTTAGTACATCCGCATAAAATTGCTGGTTAAAAAAATAGTTGAATCAGAGCAAAAATGGACGTATGACCTTTGACTCCCAACATTATTATCATACTTTGCTATTAATTTTAAGAGTGTTTTTGAGACTTTAAATACCGGTACTATTTAGTACATCCGCATAAAATTGCTGGTTAAAAATATAGTTGAATCAGAGCAAAAATGGACGTTTGACCTTTGGACTCCCAAACATTATTTTTATACTTTGACATTAATTTTGGGAGTGTATAAAAAAAAAATGCGCTGAATCAGAGCCGCAAATTACCAGCGTCGGCGAGGAGTCTGGCGATCTTTTCGCTCATAACTATTCTCACGGGATCCCTATCATTCAACACGATGTGGATTACCGCCAAGCAATTAGGAAATATGGTCTTTTTTGCTTCGCATTTTTCGATCAGGCCAAATTCAAATACTTTTATGGCCCGCCAGACCAGGTGGGCAAAATTTTTGACCCTTGCTTCAAAAACCATGTCTGTTGTGAAGTCTGGTCACTTTATTGACCTATGTAAAAATTGTTTTGCTACACCACTAGAATACTTGAAGTACGAACCCACTCCCCCTGTAAAAAATTAGGGTTTCGTGTAGTTTAGTACCTCAAGTACGAAACTATAGAAGGGGGGGGGGGGTGGGTGACATTTTTTTGTTGCAAATTGAATGGTTGCTGACATTGTTTAGATTATTTATTTGGATTTGAAAACAAATTTAATTTCTGTATGTAGTCATAAAAAATTTTCACAACTTTCTCCAATACTTGTTTCAATATTCTATTACAGTACGTACCTGCCCAGCCCCTAAAGCTCCAGACAACGGGACTGTAGACACCGCAACTGCCTTAGAGGTCAATCAGACTATCGAATATTCATGCAATGCTGGATACGTTCTTCAAGGATCAAACATTGGAAAATGCGGAGAAAATGGAACCTGGGGTGAGGTGCCCACTTGCGTAGGTAAGTGTTCACATAGCGCTGTTTAATCGTGGATATTTTTCCAAACTACGAGGTGTTCGGTGGTTTCATTAAGGATTAATTATGTGCGAGAGTATTGCTGGACCCCTCGCTATCACGTAACCGCTGGTCGTTTACGGCTTTCTCACCATCTAGTCTGTGTATCTGAAACAATTAACTAGTAATTATCTCTAAACCCAACATGAACGGGTAATGGCACCAGTCTGGATTTCAAGGCCTTTTTTGAACGAGAAATCGGGAGTGCAATCAGAAATTCCTGCGTGCAAATCAGAATTCCCGGTGTGCAATTATAGCTAACGGCGTGCAAAACAACTGCGCCCGCGTGCAATGACTTTGACTTTAGATGCTATGCTGTTCAATACATCCTCGTAGAATTATTGGATAAAAAATTGTTGAATCAGAGCAAAAATGGACGTTTGATCTTTGACCCCCAACAATATTTTTATACTTTGCTATTAATTTTAAGAGTGTTTGTGCCACTATAAATACCGGTACTGTTTAGTACATTCGCGTAAAATTGCTGGTTAAAAAAAAATACTGTGAATCAAGGGCAAAAATGGACGTTTGACCTTTGACCCCAAACATTATTTTTTTACTCTGACATTAATTTTGGGAGTGTTTCATATTTTAATTAACTTAAGTTTAAAAAACAAATCTAATTTCTGTATGTAGTTTCCACAAATTTCTCCAAGACCTGATTGACCGCACGAAAGGCTGTGACGAGTTGTAGTTTTCCCCATCCAGTATCTTAATAATCTGACATGGGCAACCTGCGGCTTGCGGGACAAATCAGGCCTGATGGGTAATTTCATCTAGTCCCACAAAATAAAACCAAATTTTACTGTTTCAGTTAAAAATAGCTCAAGGAATTTGTTGATATTGCTATTTAATTTAGTTTTGACACAAGGCCTATTGTTTCACTTTTGCTTTTGTAACACTGTAAATATTATTCATAAAATGTAACTTTTTACGTCACACTTTTATGACCCGCCAGACCAGGTGGGAAATATTTTTGGCCCTCGCTCCAAAAACCATGTCTGTTGTGAAGTTTGGCACCACACTGTGAAAAATTAGGGTTTCGTGTAGTTTAGTACCTCAAGTAAGAAACTATAGAAGAGGGGGTGGGTGACGTTTTTTTTTTGCAAATTGAATGGTTGCTGACATTGTTTAGATCTTTTATTTAAGTTTGAAAACAAATTTAATTTCTGTATGTAGTCATAAAAATTTTTCACAACTCCCTCCAATACTTATTTCAATATTATATTACAGTACGTACCTGCCCAGCCTCTAAAGCTCCAGACATCGGGACTGTAGACACCGCAACTGCCTTAGAGGTCAATCAGACTATAGAATATTCATGCAAGGAATAATTATGTGCGAGAGTATTGCTGGACCCCTCGCTATCACATAACTGCTTGTCGTTCAAGGCTTTCTTGCCATCTAGTCTGTGTATCTGAAACAATTAACTAGTAAATATTTCTAAATCCAACATGAATTTCATGGCCTTTTTGAACGAGAAATCGGCCGTGCAATCAGAAATTCTCACATGCAAATCAGAATTCCCGGCGTGTAATTATAGCTAACGGCGTTTAAAACGACTTGTCGCGTGCAACTGACTTTGACTTTCGATGCTATGCTGTTCAATACATCCTCGTAAAATTATTGGATAAAAAATTGTTGAATCAGATCAAAAATGGACGTTTGATCTTTGACCCCCAACATCATTTTTATACTTTGCTATTAATTTTAAGAGTGTTTGTGCGACTTTAAATACCATTACTGTTTGGTAAATCCGCGTAAAATTGCTGGTTAAAAAAAAATACGTTGAATCAGAGCAAAAATGGACATTTGACCTTTTACCCCCAAACATTATTTTTATACTTTGAAATTAATTTTGGGAGTGTTTTTGCGTAAAACTATTGGATGAAAAATGCGCTGAATCATAGCCGTAACTTACCAGCGTCGGCGAGGAGTCTGGCGATCTTTTCGCCCATAACTATTCTCACGGGATCCCTATCATTCAACACGATGCGTCTTACCGCCAAGCAATTATGAAATATGGTCTTTTTTGCTTCGCATTTTTCGATCAGGCCAAATTTTGCAAGCTAGTATGTAGTTGACAATTGTGGAGCTGCAATTTGTTGACATCTTTATATTACTGGATTATTGATTTAAAAACCATTTGAATCGATTTTCATTGGTGAGCAATTGCAAATTTTCGGCGTGCAAAATTGAATTTGCTCTAGGCCTGATGGGTAATTTCATCTGGCCCACCAAAATAAAACCAAATTTTACTGTTTCAGTTGAAAATAGCTCAAGGAATTTGTTGAGATTGCTATTTAATTTAGTTTTGACACGAGGCCTACTGTTTTCCACTTTTGCTTTTGTAACACTGTAAATATTGTGCATAAAATGTAACTTTTTACGTCACTTTTATGGCCCGCCAGACCAGTTGGGCGAAAATTTCTGGCCCATGCTCCAAAAACCATGTCTGTTGTGAAGTCTGGTCACCTTATTGACCTATGTAAAAATTGTTTTGCTACACCACTAGAATACTTGAAGTACGAACCCCCTCCCCCCTGTAAAAAATTAGGGTTTCATGTGGTTTAGTACCTCAAGTAGGAAACTATAGAAGAGAGGGTGGGTGAAGTGTTTTTTGCAGATTAATTAAATGGTTGCTGACATTGTTTAGATTATTTATTTAAGTTTGAAAACAAGTTTAATTTCTGTATGTAGTCATAAAAAATTTACACAACTTTCTCCAATACTTGTTTCAATATTCTATTACAGTACGTACCTGCCCAGCCCCTAAAGCTCCAGACAACGGGACTGTAGACACCGCAACTGCCTTAGTGGTCAATCAGACTATCAAATATTCATGCAATGCTGGATACGTTCTTCAAGGATCAAACATTGGAAAATGCAGAGAAAATGGAACCTGGGGTGAGGTGCCCACTTGCATAGGTAAGTGTTGGCATAGCGCTGTTTAATCGTGGATAATTCTCCAAGGTGTCCGGTGGTTGGTGCCTCGTGCTGAGTTTGAGTATCATTGTAATCGCACTTCCAATTACTCAAAGGTGTTTTCCAAACTCTGAGGTGTTCGGTGGTTCCAATAAGGGATAATCATGTGCGAGAGGATTGCTGGATCCCTCGCTATCAAGTAACCGCTGGTCGTTTACGGCTTCTTCGCCATCTAGTCCAGTGGTACTTAAACTTCTTGAGTCGTGCCCCCCTTCGAAAAATTTCACAAACTTTGCGCCCCCCCTCTTTTTGCTTTGAAAAATTGTTTTTGTGATGAGCAGGTTGCTATATAATAAAATGGTGCTATAAGAGCGTTGATCTCATAGCAGCATTGCTCGGAATGTTTAGGCATAAAACGCTTCGGAGTACAACTTTGCCATTCGCTGTCGTATGTATAAAGCCAAATAGTGGTTGGTCATCATACATTCTCGTTTTTCCCCTCAGTTTGCAATACCTGGTAAAGTCAAACTAATTTTTAGGTAAAACTAAACACGCAATAAACCTATGCTTTAATGTATTTTCTGCCTAAACGTTTACATAAGACACGTAAAATTTCAATCAATTGTTTACTTCATCACTATTGAGCGATGCCAAAATTATTTACTGTGTGTTAAAAATATGCAACAATTACAGACTTCTTGGCTTGCATAACGTTTCAAACAAAATGGAGAAGTACAAATGAATTTATGTGAATTTAAAAGCAGTTCATTTTTAATAGTTATTATGCATGTGGACGTTTCCTCGGCCCTTGACCGCTAAAAAATAAAGTCGCTAATGCGTTTGCGTTTGCATTTTGTTTAAATCTCGATTGTTTTTGATAGCGTGGCGTGCTATTTAGGCCGTAAAAATCTTGATTTCGGTGTTTATTCTCATTTCCCTCGACATATTCTTGTGTCGCGAAGACGATTATAATTACTTTTTTTGTTCTTGAATGGAACCATGATACCTCATGAGGTAAACGAGTTAGTTTTTATTATATAATCATCAGCGACAAGATGCTAAAGATAGAAAAAAGTAGTGAATCTGCCACCAAATATTTCTTTATTGTAAAAGTGAGATTATAAAATACTAAAAATAAAACGGAAAACACCATGAGTTTTGTTTTGGGGTGGACTGCGACAGATTAAAAACACTTTCTTAGACATTGCAAATCTTATAAATTTCTTGTGCCTGCGGCACACCAGTAGTGTTGTAAAACTACCGACTTGAAATAAATTTTACTCCGTGGAATTTTATCGCAGACTAAGAAACGGTGTAACGGTGTTAAAATTAATCGAGCATTGCGATAGAGCGGAGTAAGAGTTGCAGGGACAGCTCACAATGGTGAAATTGGCAAGAATACAAATCAAAACAAAATGTAATCGGGCACTTTGCCACACATTTTTATGGTTGCGGATTACCGTGGTATTTTGGAGTAGTGGTGCTTTTATTTTATCGACGCAATCGCAGATTTGATTTATCACAATCAAATGAATAAAGCAACCATTTTAAATGAATATTTTATTCAACACGAAAACCATTACATATCCGCTGACAAAGTCGGTTCTTATAACGACTGGCGTATTCTCGAGGACTGACTCAGGGATTCGTACCGTGGGGATTTCGAGTCGATGAATATATATTTTAATTGTACTAAATTAAATATGCTTTCTGGGATATTATACCAGATCTTTCTAATGAAGACAACGGATTCGCATGAGTGCAATATATATCAAAACTAAATATAATCGTGCAGTTGATCACACTTTAATATGTCTGCGGATTGGCGTGGTATTTTAGATCGGTGAAGAGTTTATTTTGACATGAGTCGCCGCAACTGCGAGTTTGAACACAACCTTGAACACAAATGAATTAAAATAGAGAGACATTTTGAACTCTCGTAGTTATTACGAGACAGAAAAATTTATTATACCACGAAAAAGCAGGTATTTTTACGGACGCGGAGACCGTTTCAGGAGCCGTTACATGTAAATTTCCGATTCCATCTTGTGAGCATCTCCAGTTTAAGAACCCCTGCTCTAAATACACTGTTTAGCAAACTTACTTTTTAAATTTTGATAGCTAATTTTGACTTGTCACCATTGAAAGTCTGACATTCTGACATTTGATTATCTTTGGACTTCAAATCTGAGTCGGTATTAAAATTGTTTCAACCCGTGGTCGATTGTGAATTTCATCCGATTTTACAGACCTGTTCAGAATGAAATAATAGTCGGTTTAGGCCAGAATATGAGGCTCGGACTCTAAAAAAGGTTTTTGTGTTTTTCAGTCGATCTCACATGTGATTTTGAGTCTTCAACCAACCCTACATGCGGCTACACTAGAGTTAATGGAACATTTCAGAGAGAATACAGAGATAATGAAGTTACAGGTATTGTTTCTATATTAAACGCTTAAATGAGTCACCTTTACTTCTGAGTAAATTTGCTTACAAATGACAGAAATGAGTCAATTTTATTTCTGAATGAGTACTCGTAACTTTGCTTACAAATGAGTCTCCTTTACTTCTGAGTGAGTGCCCGTAACTTTGCTCAGAGATGAGTCTCCTCTACTTCTGAGTGAGTACCTGTAACTTCGCTTACAAATGAGTCTCCTTTACATATGAGCGAGTCCCTGTAACTTCGCTTACAAATGAGTCTCCTTTACTTCTGAGTGAGTACCCATAACTTTACTTACAACTGAGTCTCCTTTACTTATGAGTGAGATGAAGAAAGCTGACGACTCAATTATACGGCGAACCACGGCCTCTCGATAGAACGCGCATTTCTACCGCTTAGCATGATGCGCCAAACTATGCAATGTCATTGCGCGGTCAGATTTTAGACTCTCCCACAAAGAATTGAAAAATGCTGTGTTTCCATCTCTCCCACCAGATACACTCTAATTTTTTTATTCTAATTATCCTAGGTTATGTTCTTGCTGGTAATGGTACAATCAGATCCTTACCTAAGGCTTTGGCTGGCAATGAGGAACTATGCATGAGTGTCGACATAAAAGATACATCTGATGGAGAACTGATGGCTAAGGCTCGCAATGGAACTGTAACGTGAGTAGCTAACACTGCATTTATTTTTTTACGTGACTATTTGCTGCTTTCACTTTTGAGCAGGAGTTCCCAAGGCCCAGGACCGTCGGGACCCAAAATTGGGACGGAGTGATAAGTAGGTAGAGTCGCAAACAGGTCGGTGGGGTCGCTGATGTATGGTAGAGGATGGATGTACAAAACATCTAAGATTTGACAAACCATGTTAATTTTGATCATTAGAAGTCGCGACGAACACGGTTGTACGCAGCTCCGAATCGCAAAAAGCTATGGAGTCACTGCTACACGCAATCTCTAAAGCAGGGGTAACTTTTTGTCTCAGTTTCAGTGAAGCATTGTGGGCCGTATTATTTTTGTCCGCGGTCCGGATATGGCCCACAGGTGGCCGACCCCTGATCTAGAGTCGTCTTACTTTGGTCTCCCGCAATGCTTATTATGTTTTGTGGTAGTATTGTAGGCACTGATTACTGATTTTCCTTTTTCTCAATGTCGCAATAGTAGTAGTTATTAGCAAATTCCTTTTCATATTCGAACTGGAACTCATGGTTACGCTTACTCATTGTCTAAATTGCTTTTGCACTAAATTGCACTTTTCTTAGAAATAAGCACAAATCATAGAAATAAGCACGATATGGCAACCCTGCCTATAAACAATGCATGCCATGTTGTCACGCAAAGCCAATGCTAAATAAAGATGCGTTCCGTGGCTTCATCCAGTCATTTGTATCTGGCCCTCTGGATTAAAGGTTGCACACCCCTTTTTAATTTTGCTCTGAGGATCATCTGTGAACAGAATTACTGACAACCACTGTAATGTGAAGAGCTGCTGAAACTATATCGGTGCATTCCACATTAGTAAATACTGATTAGTGGGAGACTTTGGGTAGTTTAAAGTTGATGCGTTCGAGAGTAGAGCTAAATATTAGATTCCATATAAATGAGATTCCTGGAAAAAGCAGAATATAACTAATTTTGATTTATTTTGTAAGTCTATGTGAAGCCAATGATAGGTTTCGTAATTTTTTTTGTAGGAAAGCAATCTGGCCGTTTTCTGCCTCGACCACCTGGAAGACCGAGAAATTCATTTTAAAGAAAGTGAACTCTACAGATACCGCGGTTGGAATACATTTGTTAGCAAAAATCTTTTTAACTCAAAATTGCTTTCAATATGAATCCCATCCCACATTATGCAAAAGTTTTGGCGTTCCATAAGTGTGTGTACCAATATGGAGGTAACTAATTTTGTTCGCCTATTTTACACAAAGTTGCGTAAAATGACTGAAACGTAAGGAAAGGGGTTAGTCACTTGGCTAACACAGACAGTTCCCGAACACGTAGTAGAAATAAAATAAGGAAAATCGAAACAAATTATGTCTAACCTGGTACACATACTACAGAATCCCATCTCACATGGGCGTTTGGTTGAGATTGGTAGGGGTGTAGTCTTGTTTGATCAGCGTGCGGAGGGTTATAATCATTTTTTTGCATAATTGGAGTTTCTCTAGAATCCCTTTACAAACCGGGAACACATATTAGACGTTCCATCAACTTTCCTCTACGCATGCATAAACCTCGAATGTAGATTTTTTGGACTCTGTGAGAATCCACTCGCAATTCTGATCTATTCAAGGACTGACTCCAAATCAACAACAATTTCTGAATCTATTTACCTTACTTTAAGTCAGGGATTCCCAAACTAGGGTCCGCGGCCCCTGGTGATCCATGATGATTGCGCAGGGGGTCCGCAACGATATGAAATGAGTCTAATCGATTTTTCATGATTGATTTCAATCAAAAAACCATTGTATTTTAAGGTTGAGTGTTGCCGACGAATATTCATAGCTTCCAGAAAATGCCATTTTCATTTTATTGCCTTTTGCAACGACCCACATACATGTGTGAGGCAGCAGTTGACTAGGCACAGGAATCGATAAGGCATAGGATGGGGGTCCGTCAATATTAAGATTCACAAACAGGGATCGGCTGCTCAAAAAAGTTTGGGAAACATTGCAGTCTAAGTCAAACCAAGAAAACCTAAATTTTCTCACAAAAACTTAATTTCATGCAAGCATGTTGAAAATGTTTAGTGAGCGTAATGCTTTTCGCGATCTGTCTGAAAATTGTCTTCGATTTCACATTTAGAAATCTGGAATCACAGTTGCTGACTTCATAGTTAGAAAGTTCGATTCCGATTTCACACTGGAAGCACTCTCGACTTCCACTCTAGACTTTACCTCGCAGCGGTGCTCAAACTTGAATCTTTTTTCGTTCAGGTCCAGCTTGAGCTTGAGGCATCCGGGAATGTAGAGTTAGACAACATAACAACTTTAAATTCTTCCGAATGCTATGGTCTGGGTAAGTACATTAAGATTTATTTTGTCAATGCCAAAGTTGTTGGAGCATTGAATGTTCACTCCGATATTCTCGGGTTCAAATCTTATTTCAGTCAGGGTGATAAATTGGGGTAGACAATGCTGCTGTACAATGCCACAAGCCTTTGCTTGGAGTGTGTGTGTATCGGTGGCCGCTTCCACGAAGCCTTGTTTGAAGTGAAGAAAACCTTCATAAATTTAAAATAATCACAAACAAATAATCTGAAGTCGAGTTAAACTTTTTTATCATTTGATTTTCTTGCAGATACAACCGTGTGGGAAGCAAAATCTTGAAAACGGAATAATTTCTCCCGAGCAAGACTTGTACAGTGAGGATCAGGAGGTCAGGTACTCTTGCAGAAATGGTTTCACTTTGGGAGGAGAACAGACGGGAACATGCAACGCTGAAGGTTCATGGTCCAACAACACCAGTGTGCACTTCAAGTCAGTTTTTCCATCCCTTATGTTATTACATGTTTGTCCAGCCTTGTTTGAAGTGAAGAAAACCTTTCATAAATTTAAAATAATCACAAACAAATAATCTGAAAGTCAAGTTAAACTTTTTTATCATTTGATTTTCTTGCAGATACACCGTGCGTGAAGCAAAATCTTGAGAACGGAACAATTTCTCCCGAGCAAGAATTGTACAGTCAGGATCAGGAGGTCAGTTACTCTTGCAGAAATGGGTACATTTTGGAAAGGGGACTGACGGGAACATGCAAAGCTGACGGCTCATGGTCCACAACACCAGTGTGCACAAGTAAGTTGTTTTCCCATAGCGATAAAAATCATTTCCCATTTACAATCTGCTGTCCCATCCCTATTCCAAACCTGCTGTCTTTCTGATATATATCCATCCCTATCGCAACCGTATTCTTGCTGCCAGCTCGCAGATTCGATGCCAGACTCTTTCCAGTTCATTCGTGATTACTCAGGGAATCCCAGAACACGGACACAATATAAAATTAAAAAACATGAAAAACCAACTATCAGCTTCAAAAATATTGCATCCCAGGGACAGTAATTCGCCAAAGATTGTTCGCCCAAAATTGAGACCGTAATTTACAAATTGTGATATGGAGGATCAAATTATATAAAGAAGATGAAAATAAAATTAATTTGTGTTGTGAATTCACTCATTGATAGCTCATCTTCACCGATGTGAACTCACAATTCTGTCCGAAATATAAAAAACCCAACTACGATGTCCGCCGTTGCATAAGAATCAATATTTACTTGTGAATAAAAAAGTGCATTAATATAAATTACCAGCATCATATGGAATGTCGCGGTGACAAAAAATAATCAATTATGACAAAATTATGAAATAAAAAACGCAGTTTTGTTACCGAGTTTTCAGTCTTCTAGTAAATTTCGAAAAGAGTTTTGACCATATTTCACAATCCGGTATTTGTATAAAATATTGGAATAATTCGATTGGAAACTAAGCATGGCACATGTAATACTCATTGAATGACAATAAAAATCGACTTGATTAACATTAAGTAATAATTTCACATTTCATGCATTTGATTGCTACATGCCAGCGTGTATTTGTACATAAAATCATAAACTATTATACCACCACTGACATCTGCGAGTTGCACTCCCTCTAAAATTAATATTCACGATTTTTATTGTTTTATTTCTAAATGTGGGTACACTGACTACGAATTAATGGTCAATTAGTAGATTTTAGAAATATTTATTAAACACCTCACGTCGTTTTGAATTGCACTTTTGCCGTAAGCGTAGGATAAAAGAGAGAACACTCTGATACTGGTGATTAATCGCGGCATCCACTGGCGATAGTGTCGGTTGTCTATGAACTCGCGTCTTTGAGACAAAAAGTTTTTTTAAAACCGGAGTCAATACGTTATAGCTTTTTTCTGATAATATTTAACCTCAAGTCCGACTGGTCTGTATTATCCAGCGCATATCTCACTGTTACATTTCTTTAGCTTCAATACCTCAGTGGTTGCCCGTACTTTGCTCAGAGAAACGTTTACTTTATTTCTGAGTGAGTTCGCATGACCCTTCTTGAAGCAAATAAGATGACGTATGATCAAAACTACTGAAGGGCTCACAATCATATTATTGTAAAAAACTGTTGTAAATAAAAAGAATGAAGGTTATTAAGTAACACGTACAAATAAATATTCTACTAATTGTTTCTTAAATATCTGACTCCAAACTATTTTAAATGTCACTTTTTTTTCAGAATGTGGCGTTGTCTATAATGCCAGTTGTTTTCGAGCGATCGTTTATGACACGCCGAATGTCACATTGAGCGTCGCTGAATCTCTTTGCGAAAACAAACTTACTAACATTTATGACGTCACACACTACAACCTGCTTCTAGATTATTTACGATCAATGATTCCTGATGGAAGTTCATGGATTTGGTTTTGTACGGGACTGAATTACACGGTAGGTCGAGTCTGAATCATGTTGCTTGTGCGGCCATACATGAAATCATTATATAATGTTACCGATATTGTTTCTGCATTACCATGTACTACTATTACATTTTATCTTGAGGTTAAATTCATATAGCTTTAGCATAGGAGAGACGTTCAAATCGGGCCATTTATAACACTGACTAATCCAAGCTGATATCAAATTTGACTTTCATACAAATTTAAAAAGTTTGTTTGCCAGCCTTTTCCAATTTTTATTTTAAATTCAACCACAAACTTCCGTTTCCATGTAATGTTTCCGGGTAATTCAACAATTTGACTCCAACACTAATGCTTCAACTTTACAGCTCTGATACTAAATCATAGAAGACTAATCCAAACTAATTTGATTTGTGTGTCGTGTATGTTATTCAATTATCATCTACCAACGGTAATCACTGAAGTGTGACTAAGCAGAATATTCACGTGATGGTGTCACGCTTCGGTGCTCCCGAAGTATGCGAACCAAGATGGCGGACATCGAAACGTAACATGGGTAACAGGTTAGGGTCAGGCGATAATTTTTTTCCAATTTTCCTTATTTTAGTCCTATTATCAGTTCGAAGACTAGCCAAGAGCCTCCCGTAGTATTTATACCTAAAATTATGGCCTAACCTCAACCTAGTACACATATTACATTCCGATGTCCGCCATCTTTTATTTCACAGAACAGTCAGCTGTATTCAACGACAGGTCAAGCTATATCTCTGCCAACTGAGGTTTGGTATCCTGATTATCCGAAGCCCGTTCCATCGTGGACAACTGTTGGTGTTCGTGTCACTCTTAACCCACAAAACAACAATCAAGGGATTTCGAATTATCTTCCTTCCCGGCCATATCACGGAGCCATCTGTGAAAATGAATTATGAATTTATTGAATGATTGATAAACAAAAACTGTAGAATTACTTGAGTTTGAGAGTAATTGTTATTCACCCTAGTAGCTTAATGACTATTTCCACAGTTGAACAAGCATATGCTCTTGTATTCCCGAATATTCGTTAGTCACACACACAGTTTAATTTACACCCCGACTCAGGCGTGCAGCCAGGATTTTCAAGAGGTGGTTTAAAAATCGGAAATTCCCATTATCGTCTGTAACAGTCACCGCGATTACGCGATCGTTAAAACAGTCGCTTTTTCAGAGCATAATATTTTTTTTGTCGTGTAAAATATTCAATCCATGACAACTACGAGATTCTTAAATGTCTTTATATAATAATTTAATTGTGTCCAACGTAACTCGCGGTTGCGACTTCTTACGTCAAAATCAAAACATTACTCTAGTAAAATACCACAACGATCTGTAGACATAAATATATGAGATAAGCTGCCTGATGTATTTAGTTTTGATACATGTTTTTGGAATCTTGCGAAATCGCAATCGTCGTTGGCAAACCTCGAGATCTGATATAAAATGCTGTATAGTACAATTTTACTTCATACAATGGAATTATATATAAAGTATACCAGTAAATCAAAAATACATATTCATCGCCTCGAAATCCACGCCGAACAGCCGCTGCGATTACCCCAATTGTTGAGAGCCCCCCTAAAACACCACGGCAATCCGCGGACATGAAAATAAAAATGTGTGGTGGACTGCCCGATTATATATTGTTTTGATTCGTATTTTTTTCTATTTTGCGAATTTGACAAATTAGAGATGTGCTTGTAACACTGACTCCGCTCAATCGCAATGCTGCCACTACGATTTTTTCTAAAGATAGATCCTTTCAAAAAATCCGTACATCTGGTGTAAAATGTCACGGAGTGAAATTTATTTCCGTAAAATAAAAATTGATCAAATATACTCCAGATTAATTATGATGTCGCGTTCTCAACCTTGTTTAACACAAAAATTTTTGACGGCAATTTTAAAGTAATATATAAAAGGCCAATATTGCCCACAATTAACCGTGTTTCGATTTTAGTGACGATATGTTTGTAAACGCCGACCAAACAAGAGTCTGTGCTGTATAGGCACACGAAAAATTGCGGTTTTCAATGACTGGAAATGCGTTTTGAGACTGACGCCGGCCTCAACAAAACTTGTATTTTTTACGGTTTCATTTTGGCGACTTTTTCGGTTTTTAAAAAAATTTAAAAGAGGGGGATTTTGATCCCGGAAGTATGTATGTTGAAACGATGCGATTAATTGCGAACTTATTCAAATTGTCTGCTGGGCTTTTCTTGGGTAGGAATTCCAATAAAACTGCATTCATTATTAGATTTCTACCGGACAAACTATTTTTTTATTTCCTAGATGTGTTCAAGAAATGTTTGATGATTTGGTTTATTTTAATATATATTTCATGTTCAAGAAATTTCAGTAAATTACAAAAACGTTTGATACTTTCTAAATAACGGCTTCGTATCTGTAACTTCTAAATCTTTAAAAATAAAGTTTCAAAAATAATGAAAAGACATCGTCTTCAGATATTTTTCATTGAACCTCTTTATGATAAAGCTGTGGAATCAGAGAAAATCACAATCGACTCTGAAAAAATTTACTTTTGATAAAGAAACCTTTGGTAAATGCAAACTTTCTTTAATAGACAGTCACGAACGCTCAGTAAAATAATGCTTTTAGAATTTATAGTGACCTATCTTAAAAACATTGAAAATCTACAATTTCTACAAATTCAGATTCCAACTCACATGGGAATTTTCTCAACTTCGATTCCACAGCTTTGTATTTTGTAAAGTTTGTCATTTTGCGATGAATAGTTTTATTCTAATTAGATTCATTTAAAAATACTGAAATCAAAAGTGCAGAATGGTTTTGATTTTAAAATAATTGGCCAGAATGGATTTTTATTACTTTTTCTTTATTGTTTCGAAGAATTTCTTTTGTTTTTGCTATTTTAACACTTTTACTGACGAATACCTTTCCAGAAGGTCGTGTTTCTAAAGAAAGCACTTAAAGTAAAATCTGTGTAATTGTTGTTAATTGTCCTTGAATGAAATATTTTCCACATTTATTTTGGATAAGTCCAACAGTCAATATTGTCGATGTCGATGGTTTAAGCCTCATAACTTCTTAATTTCAATTGCTAAGTCCATATATTTCAATGGATATATTTCTCCCAGATTTTATAAGCACAAGATCTTGCTGAGAAATCTTCTACAAATATCAGGGTCTGAGTTTTCAATTGTCTTCTTTATTTAAATATGACATATTTTTCAATAAATTAAAGTTCCGTTGTGCCCTGAAGAAATTATAAGAAATTCAAGAATGTATCAAAATCAATTACAGCATTGTCTCCTCTTTACAATGAATTTTGTATTTTATTTTTCTTGTGTGTGAATTATAAGGATTGATGATATTTTTTATTATATTTGCTCTGGTATATGATATCTTTGAATTGTTCTGAATCACGCTGTTAACTTATTTTTTCCAAACATATTTATTCCTGGTTATCTAATAGTTAAAAAACTCAGAACAACTTGAAATTTCGGTGTTTTCCAAGTATGTGCAAGTTAAATGTAAGTTAAATAAGTTAAATGTATTTCTCAGAAAACTAAGAAATTAGCTGAACAGTCCTATCCAAATTGTCCAAATACGACAAAATTTTCTCCTGAGTTGGCGGATACCGGAACGTATTATGTGTATAATTTCAGGTACAAATACTACGGGAGTCACTTGGCTAGTCCATAGAACTAAAATACGGGAAATTGGAATAAAATTATGGCCCATCCATAACCCTGGTACACATACTACGTTCTGGTGTCCGTACTTCTGGAGCGCCTAATTTTTTCATTAACTTTGCTCTGGTATTTTATTTCCTAGATGTGTTTCTGATTTATATCATTTTTCGGCAAAATATTTTGTCAATGAAAGTTCAAATTATTTTTCACGAACTGAACTTAATAAATGAAATTCATGAAAAATAATTTGAACTTCCAGTGCAGAAATATTATTTGCTACTTTGTGTGAATAAAATTGTATTGCAAAACGTTATCAATTTATTTTGAATATGATGAGTTAAATGTATTTCTCAGAAAACTAAGAAATTAGCTTAATCGGAGAATTGGAATTTAAAAACAGTTCTATCCAAATTGTCCAAATACGACAAAATTTTCTATGAGTAATCCCGAGCATGGCGCATTGTAGGGAAGTCCTGTAGTTATGTGAAGCAAGATGGCGGATATCGGAACGTAGTGTGTGTACTCGGTTAGGGTTAGACCATAGTTACTACGGAAGTCACTTGGCTAGTCCCCGAACTTGTAATAGAACTAAAATAAGGAAATCGGACTAGAATTATGGCCTAACCTGGTACACATACTACGTTCGGGTGTCCGCGATCTTGGTTCGCACACTACTGGAGTAGGCCTACCCAATGTAGAATATAAACATAGGATAAAATTCATATATTTTTAATCCGAGGAGAAGAAAGCCGATAAGGCGGCATAAATATATGGCGGACCACGGACTCTCATTAATTGCCAGTCCATGTCAGGTATGGAATTAGTAACAGTTAGGATAGGATTTACATATTTATCCCGGGGGAGAGGAAAGCCGATAAGACGGCTTATCCATATGGCGAACCACGGCCTCTCGTCCGGTTACCATTCCAAGTCGGGTATGGGATTAGTTATATTGTTTGTTTTCGGAAGCATGGACTTGGTGGTGGAGGAAGCCGTAACCGACCAGCGGTTACGTGAACCACCCAACGACGGCGAGGAGTCCAGCAATCCTCTCGCACATAACCATCCCTGCATGGGATTCGAACCTGCGAACCCATGCAGAGTGACTAGAGGTGCGGTGGCGAGCGTATTCCTAACGCTTAGCCCGTTGAGCCACACCGCCGCGCCACAGTTATTTGTTTCAGATGCACTGACTTGATATATTAGAATAGAAAAATGAAATACTTGAGATTGAGAGGAAACAGAGTGTGATGAATCGGGCCAGGCGGAGAATAAAATAATGTTCACTGACCATTCCCATCACACACCACTATGGTGGCCCATCGTTGTCACGCAAAAAATTGAAAATAAAATAAAAAACCGAAAATAAAAAAATAGTTGTGAAAAAACATAAAAATAATTGAAAAAAAAAATTAAAATTAAAAAAAAAATAAAAAAAAAAACGAAAAAAAAACATAAAAAAAAAATAAAATAAAAAAATTTGAAAAAAAAAAAAATTAAAAAAAATAAAATAAAAATTGAATAAAAAGGTTGACAACGATGGTCCGCCTCGTGGCCCATCGTTGTCACGCGTTTTTATTTTTAGAAAATTTGCTTCTGCTTGGGACCAACGTTGTCAGGCATAATCCTACGCGCACAAATGTGTTCCCTGGGTTTCCAACTCTACTGATTTTTTTGAGCAATATTCAATATGAAAATGTTCTATAAATTCTCCATGCTTCAATGCTACAAGTTCAACAAGAAGTAATATATTTATAATAATGATAAGAGAATATAGAATTGAATACGAAAATTCGGAAAATTTGTTTTTACGTGTAGAAGGTAATTTAATTGGAGAATGCTGCTTAACTATTCAGTTGTCAGGACACTCGCGATGCCGGTACCGTACCGTCTTACCAAATACCGATAGTCGGTTATAGTCGCTTTGCGTCTGACCGTACCGGTAGCCATGCAATCACTCATGAAAGAATGGGAGATACGGATAGTCTCGTAGAATATAGACTACTGAAACACTCTCTGTGCCTGCCTCATACCGTACAGCCGTACCGGTAACGTATCGATCCAGACAAATGATAAATCGCCCGTGCTCAACCATTTACTTCAATACATACCTCGATCCTAGTAGAATATAGTGAGTCGAGGTATGGATTGAAATAAATGGTTGAGCACGGGCGATTCATCATTTGTCTGGATCGGTACGTTACGGCTGTACGGTATGGGGCAGGCGCAGAGAGTGTTTCAGTAGTCTATATTCTACGAGACTATCCGTATCTCCCATTCTTTCATGAGTGATTGCATGGGTACCGGTACGGTCAGACGGTACCGTACCGGCATCGCACGAGTGTCCAGACAACTGAGCAGTTGAGCAGCATTTTTCAATTCATTACCTTCTACACGTAAAAACAAATTTTCGTATTAAATTCTATATTCTCTTATCATTATTATAAATATATTGCTTGTGGTCGAACTTGTAGCATGGAGAATTTATAAAACATTTTCGTTTTGAATTTATTGGATATTGCTCATGAAAATCAGTAGTGAGTTAGAAACCCAGGAAACACATTTGTGCGTGTAGGATTAAGCCTGACAACGTTGGTCCCAAGCAGCATCAAATTTTCTAAAAATAAAAACGCGTGACAACGATGGGCCACGAGGCGGACCATCGTTGTCAACCTTTTTATTTTCTTTTTATCCAATTTTTTTTTTTTCATTTTTTTTCGTTTTTTTTTTCGTTTTTATTTTTAATTTTTTTTTTAATTTTAAATTTTTTTTTCTTTTTTTTTTTTCAATTATTTTTATGTTTTTTCACAACTATTTTTTTTATAACGATCAGTAGAGGTTGCGCGAGACTAACTCCCAATCCTTTCTCTATGCCTTTGCGCTAGTGGATCCGTATGCATGTAATGCAAGGATGCTGTAGCAGGAATAAAATACCATAATATGCAATTCAAGAGTCCTGCTGCACACTAACACAAATATAACGTTTCTGTAACGTTTCTGTAACGTTTCGTCTGACCAAAATCAGACTTCCTCAGACAAGCAGTTTACAACAAACTGCTTGTCTGAGGAAGTCTGATTTTGGTCAGACGAAACGTTACAGAAATATATTTGTGTTAGTGTGCAGCAGGACTCTTGAATTGCATATTTTTTTTATTTTCGCTTTTTCATTTTATTTTTTAATTTTTTTTTTAATTTTACGCGTGACAACGATGGGCCACCATACACCACTGTCAATATGGAATGGATTGGTCTAATAAGTGTTGAAGAGAAAGGCGATTTATTTTTATCCGAGCATAGCAGCAAGTACTTAGTATATTGATCTATAGCTCCATCTCGCGGCCACAATATTTCAAAAAGTTCGACCAATGCTGATTGCACGAGATCGTATAAGATTGAGAAAATATTGCAGATCCACGAGCAGAACAGGATAGGATTCACATAAATGTTCCAGGAAGAAAGCCGATAAGACGGTTTGATCATGGCATAGCGCGGCCTCTCATCCAGTTACCAGTCGATGTTGGCTATGAGATTTCTGGATTATTTTGCCAGTAATTTGAATGATCATTGCGTGATTTAGCGCAGTCGAAGACGCTTTCATTGTTATTTATTTATAATTTCTTTACCCCCGAATTATTTTTCATGTTTAGTTTGAGGAGTTTTTGATATAGGCATTATTGAGAACTCCTCTGATAGTTAGATTGTTTACTTTTTGAAAACTCCACAATCTGACAATACAAACAAATAAAAATGGAGAATTCTGGAGAGCGAGCAAGACATTTAAAAAAGGTTAAAACAAGATGGGTATCATGTTCCCGCCAGAAATAAACACACAAAAAATACAAGAATGTAATAAACTTTCGGGCTGTTGTATACTTTTAAAATACTCAGGCTAATAAGGACCAATTCAATCTGATACAAAGATAACGTGTGTAGAGGTAAAGTAATGTGATAAGGTGACGAGAAGAATCAAAAACCATGAAAGATACATTGATTTGGCATTGTTGAAAATGTGATACAGTGAATCAAGACACATTCTGCGCTCAGACAATTATAAAAAAGATTATCAGGAAAACACTAACTGACTAATCACGAGTAAACATGTAGGCCCATATAATAAATGAAGCCAATGCTCTCAAAAACAGTCAACACACAAAACAAAACGCAAAGAGCGAATTATTGAGTGTTCAAAAAAAAATACTTTGAATCACATATTTAGAATTTCCTATTAGTGGTAAAAAGATTCAAAATTGGCGAACCCACAACACTCAGTGAACTCCTGCTTATTGATCCCCTCGGTAGCTCTGTATTGGTATAAGTAAAACAATGATGAGTGATACGAGCAAGAACACGACTCCATGCCAATGTGTGATGGTGTAAACTAGACCCTGGGGAGTTATGTAAGTGCACAAATAAAAATGGCTCAGTTTTTTCAGAATGTTTTTGGTAATTGATGGTATAGTACATGGTTCTTCTGCTCAGGATCGTTGGTTGGTGCACCATACTAAGGGTTAGCAACGCGCTTGCCATCGCAACATCGCAGGTTCCAATTCCGAATGCTCAGCGGTGTGGCGTATCGTGCTAAGCGTTAGGAAATCGCTCGCCACCGAACCTTTAGCTGAGAGGCCGTGCTATGCCATGATCAAACCGTCTTATCGGCTTTCTTCCCGGAATATTTATGTAAATCCTATTGCAGGTTTGAATACCATGCAAAATGGTTATGTGCGAGAGCATTGCTGGATCCTTCCTAGCCGTAGGGTGGTTCCCCGCCGATATGTTACGGCTTCCTCTACCATCATGCCATGTTTCCGAAAACAAATATCCTAATAACTAATTCCATACCCGATATGGACTGGTAACCGGACGAGAGGCCGTGGTTCGCCATACAATTAAGCCGTTTTATTGGGTTTTCTCTCCACGGGATAAATATATAAGTATTATTCTACCCAGGTTCAAATTCCATGGGGCGCGTAATTATGTGGGAAGCTATCGCTGGAATCCGCGGCCCGCGATAAATATGAAATTCCTGAAACGCCACCTAGTGAATGTGCACTCTCAGGCTGGTTGCAAAAACTTTTATTTCGTTTCGTTGCCGAAGCTTCATCAAGTTTTGTGATGTTTTCTGTTAAGATTGACGCGGTTGACATCACGCCAGCTCAAGTTGAAGGAAATTCACAAAATGTTTTCAAATCAACAAAGTTTGTTCTTCTGAAACCAAAGTAACTTATGTTGTTTTCGCTTGTAGAATTTGTCGTGGTGATACCGGTGAAGGATAGATTGCCTTATAACTAATTGCCTACCGGTATAGTCGGGACAGGAAAGTCGATAAAACAGCCTAATCATAAGGGCTACGGTATTCCAAGTGACACTACAGGACAATTCCAGAAATTTTGCATGTTGTTAAATTCAGTATATTTTCAGCTACATGTTTTGTTTCATTGTCCAATCAATTGCTTTATTGAATATGTGAAAAATGGCACAAAAGTTGGTACACCTGGACGTGTCCAACCTTACTTAGTAGATAAAAGAATATAGTAATATATAGCGTGGAACTACAGGACGGCAAATCCACCATGCACTAACAGTACGTTGTGTTGTGCTCTAAATTTTTGCGATGGTACATTAAGAGTCCATAATATTTTCTGGTGCAGTAGTTGAACTACCGCTCTATGTGTTCCTCAAGTTACTTAATGTAACACTGTAAATCCATGCCAATAATGTGCATATTGTATGTGACACTACAGGACGTGACACTACAGGACATTTTTCCACTTTGGAATAGCGGCATCTATCATCTCTTAAAATTCTGGTAATAAGTCGTTAAATGGCAGAATGGGTGAAGAAATGTCCTACAGCACTGCAAACATTTAAATCTACTAACTTAAATCCAGTGCGTCAATTTTATATGAAATAACTGTACCACACAATCAAACACTTTGTGTCAGGAATCATCACAAAATATGGCAATTATACCAAAATTTCTACACTTCAGGCCATTTTTTTTAAACCATCAAAAACCTGGGTGAAATTTTAAATTGTTCGATGAAATGAATGCAGTCCAATAAAATATCAATGTCTTTTGATATCAAAAATAAAAATAAATTACTTTTACTACACTTTTTAAAAAATTGATGAAATTCCACTTTTGCTCGGAATGGCCCATAATGTCACATGCAAACCATAACCTCAGAGTTAAGCTATCTGTTTCAGATGGATGGAATCATTCGTGGGGGTGGTGTGGCGCATAACGGGAGTGCTGCAGTTCTTAGCCCCACTCAGCTGCACTGCCATCACAGGGCTGCGGGGCATAGAATAGTAATCGGATAAGAGGCCGTGGTTCGTCATCTGATTACTCGTCTTATCGACTTCCCCCACCTTCAGGATACATTGAAACCTTACGATTGTAAAACTATCTTTTTCAGATGGGTCTCAGATGACTCTGCATCTCTCTGTGTTTTATGTCGCAATAAATTCAACCAAATAAGGAGGAGACATCACTGCAGGTTGGTTTCATTCAAATTGGTTTTTAGTCCATGATCCTCGGTCCCCCTAGTGGGCCGCTAGCAAGCGCCTTCACTAGTTGCCAAGTCCCACCCCCTGGCAATTAATTGGGCTTCCTTGAATTGATAGTCAATGCCTTCATATTCTCTCTGTATTTCAGGTGCTGTGGCCTGGTTCTTTGCTCAAAGTGCTGTTCAAACCGAGTTCCAGTTCCGCAGTACATGATTGATACACCTGAACGAGTTTGCAATGCTTGCCTTCCTGTTGTGTCAAGCGTGACAATGTCACACTCCAATGATCATGTGAGATAGATTGATAATATTGCTATACTTTTACATGATTGCAATTATTATCGATGCCATAACTTTGCTTAAGATTAAGTCTCCTTTACTTCTGAGTGAGTGCCCTTATTAACTTAGCTCAGAGATGAGTCTTATTTATTTCTGAGTGAGTGTCCATAACTCTGCCCAGAGATGGGTGTCCTTTACTTCTTAGTGATAGCACATAACTTTGCTCAGAGATGAGTCTCATTTATTTTTGAGTGAGTGCCTGTAACTCTGCTTACAAATAAGCCTCCTTTACTTCCGAGTGAGTGCTTGTAACTTTGCTCAGAGATGAGTCTCCTTTACTTATGTGTTGGTGTCTGTAACTTTGCTCAGAGATGAATCTTCTTTACTCCTGAATGTCTTCTATACCTACTGTGTGTGAGTGAGTTTGCTTAGAAAAAGCTTTTTCATACTTCTCTGAGAGAGTGATTCCAGCAAATAGAAATCTTTTTGCCTCATTTGCATTTCTCTTTCTACAGGAATTCCATGAGCGAGCTGTCTCTTCTCTTGAACTGATCTGTCGCGATAACCCTGCGTCTGTCATGTCACTAGGAGGCGCCCAAACACTTGTATATTTGGCGAAATTATTGAATGCCTCCAACATGAAGATACTGGTACGATTTCAGTTTTATTTTGTTCACCCAGTAGTGATTCATGGGTACTCCCGTAGCATGTGTACCGGGTTAGGGTTATGCCATAATTTTATTCCTTATATCATTTTTTCAATATTTACATAATTTTAGTTCTATTGAGAGTTCGGGGACTGTCTGTGTTAGCCAAGGGAATATACCCCCTGCCCATAGGTTTCAGTCTCTTTATACAACTTGATGTAAAATAGGCGAAAAAAATTAGTTCCTGTATATTGGTACACACACTTCTGGAGCGCCCATTTTCCATCTGTAAGACTGGCTCATGATTAGGCTTACCATGAAACAAAAACAATGCGGATTGGACAAACCTTGGTTCGTTTCTGAGGCTTAGTAATATTCTCCTATTAATAATATTTGAATCACTCGGAAATGTACACTTTCTCTAACGTTCAGAGACTAAATTGACGTAATAAACATATAATACTTTTGACCTAACAATATAGTAATCCTCTCCCTCTCTAACTGAACTAGTGGAGTGAGTCGCAAATAAGTGATAAATGGCCTCACAAAAAAAAACTATTTTGTATTGATATTAACTAAAACGTTTTATAACTGCCATACCGCATGACCGGGATATTTAATTAAGTCTATCGGTCTGGATGCCGGGACAGCTTGTCAAAATCGGGACTGTCTCGGCTAACTGAGACGTATGGTAAGCCTACTAAGGATTCAACAGTGTCTGTTGCATGACCGCTATCAAATAAATTTTAATTTTCTCATCGTCTAAATGTATGGATTGGTGCTCATAAATGGCTTGCATATTTAAAATTACTATTTATATTCAATACTTTCAACCAATTTCTAATAAAAAGTGCCTACAGCTAGCTTTAGTGCACCCAGCATGTAGTCGTTGTGTCTTGAATGAACTTTTCTCAGAGACAAATTGACTGCTCATTATAACCTTTTCCTCATTCTTGCACAGAACAGCATCACGGCTTGCCTCCATACTCTTTCCCTGCACTCTGGCGCCATATCATGGTTATCTGAGATTGGGGTGATAGATGCGGTCAACCATATCCTGCAAATTTCAAGCTCTGCGTCTGATCAACCAACCATGGCAACTGAAGCTTTAAATACTCTGAGAATTTTTGTTAAAACCAGCGATGATTTGAAGAGAAAAGGTGATTATAGATATTATGATGAAATCCTGTGAGACGGTTCTATAAAACCGGTGCAAACCGGCTGAATCCCACCACTGGTGATAATTATGTTCAAAAATGCTGGTCGTTTACGGCTTTCTCCACCGTCACAGCCAATGTATACAAAGCAATTAAGTGGTTAACTCAAGGTGGTCCCAACCTAGTGGTAAGCGCCCGTGGCACATTCTGTGCGGCCGGCTAGACGATTTTTTTGGGCATCCCAAATTTGAAATTTTTATTTTAAATCTTTTGGCTTTTGGCATTCCTCTTACTCAGGATGAAAATGAAATCATATCTTATGACGGGTCTCGCATAGTTTCGTACAACAATTACTTCTAGTGGGCGTGACATAACAATTTTTGCATATGTCATTCCTAACCCCCACCTGACCACCTGACTACGCCATCGAAAAATTATGTCATCACAGTCATGTAATAAGGCCCGCCATAATATTCGGATGATCGTCCAAAACATGCAGACGATGACTCCAAGTCGAGCGAGCTATTTCTCTCAATTTATGAAAGAGATCGCTGGCATTAGGGAGTTTGTTATCGTTGGCGCAGATGCCAGGGCGATCGTAGCTATGCTTTGGCAGGCTATATGACGTAATTTTATCGACTTTTCTCTTTGTGGGAGTAAAGCCATTCAAACAAAGTTTTTACTTCAGCTGTCATCAGTGGATGCGTTCCTCCCCTACTCGACCTGAGTGAGAGTGACAACCCGTTTGTTTCTCTTATCGCCATGACAACGCTTTGTCTCATCGCGGAGTGTCGAGACAACCACTCAGCGATCCTCTCACAGAAGAACTCACTCAGAAAGTTGCTGACGAAAATCTCAAATTCAAAAGATGAGAAGGTTTATATTTATAGGACTATTGATGTGTTTTTGTGTTTTGTACACGTTCGCTCTGGACATGCAGCCACTGAGATATGAGGAGGTTTTTAGAAGAATCATGATCTGTCTGATTCGGCATTTATTCAATTTATTGCACCTTCAGGGGGTGGGTATAAAACTTAAAACTGCATTCTACCCAGAAAACATTTTTGGAGGTTTAATTTTGTACAAGTGGGACTTCCCCGGGGAGGAATTATATGCGTGGAATTTGGCAACTAAAACATGCAATGAATGCTTGACTTGCTTCGAGCATAATTGCGTAATCTACAATTCAGTGGCTCCAGCTTCAAGTGACCGCTAATCCGCTACCATAAAATATCAGCCCGTGTCCATGGAATCTCGAACCGATTTTTGACGTCCTCTCCACTCTGATGCCTATGATACTTAGATTAAATAAATATTCCAAAATCCCCCCTACTCCCCAGAAAAAAAAATCTTAGTGACTAAAATATTATTGCAGGAAGTGGAAATAATCCTTCGTATCATGATGTTGATGTCGGCAGGGAATGCAGAGACAAAACACATGTAAGTTGTGAATTCTTTTTTCTAATGTTTCAGGTACTCGCACGTTTCGCTTCGAACAAGGCATTTTGTTGGCAGCCACTGACATCTCACGATATGTACGAAGCTACTGTTATTTGAAAAAAAAACAATCTTTCTGTTTCTGCATTGCCTAGTCAATTTATAAGGAAGGGCAAGGAAAGTCTGCAAATCAGATCTGTAAATTTTGGAAAGCGATTGGCTCTAAGGGCTAGGTCAGTCGGGCTGAAGTACAAAGCGGATGTTGGGGCTTGGTCGAACTGGGTGAAGCTTGCCGGCGCGAGATCGAGCCTGCGTCCGTTCCCTATCCATAGGCTGCCGCTACCCGGCGAAACCACAGTCAGTTTTTACTCTGTGTGAGATGGAGAATTGATGTCGATATGAGGCTTTACGAAGCCTTGTTTAAAGCAGAAGACGTAACTAAGCATATTTTTACAGGATAGTTTGCGAAGATTCATCAGTTGGTTCTGTGATGTCACAAGTAATCAAGTCACGGTCTAGTAACCCTCAGATTCTATCAAACGCAGCATGTGCAATCGCCAACCTCGCTACAAGCATTGATGATCAGGTGAGTAAATGGGAGGGGGATTTCCCTGTTTTTATATCCATTATCTGTAAATGTTAAATATAATTCACAGCAGCACATATCTAGGCCTTAAAACACATTTTAAGGTTTTGAGAAAAACACATTTTTGTTAATCCTGGATCTGTGCAACGAAACCTTAATTTAATGCTCTACCTAAACTAAAACAAGTACAGCTTTGAACCCTGGTTCATAATTACAAAAAATCAAAAAAGTCTTTGTGAAATATATGGCAAAAGCTGATTTGGTATTACTATGGCAACATGTGCTAGTGAGTTTTAATTCTGCAAGTGAACATTTCAGGGAATCAGTTCAGACGCTACCATGGTGCTATAAATTACAAAACACATTAGGATTTCCTTCAGAAATAAATGAATTGCCTTAATTTAAATGTGTTTTCAGGTTGGTCTACAAAGCAGCCTCCAAGCAATCGTATCGGTGTTGGATCGTCCGCAACCTGGCTACGTTATTGTGCACTTCGTTCGAGCTTTTGGGAATTTCGCAAAACATGAAATCCATACGAATACTTTGGTAAGACCAGTAGTCTTCAAACTTTTATGATTCGTGATTTTTCAGAGGCCCAACACCAACACAACTACCCCCCCCTCCCCCTACTCTTCTACAGAAAAAAAATAATTTAATTGTAGGGGAACGTAAAAGAAAAAATGGATTACACTCATTTGAGATTATTAGTCTTCGATAAATGACGAATCGAGTAGCGTTATATCCAACACCAACACTGAGCATTGTTTGTTTTTTCAGCTTGCCAACTTGGGAAACATTATGAAGTTTCTTGATGGCACACATGGCCCGAAGATAAACGGGCATGCAGTGAAATGTATTTTCAATTTGTTAAAGCACAGGAGAGCCGAGACAGTCAAGCAGATTTCTAGGTTTGTTGATTCGTGTTCGCATTTACATTGTGCCCAGGCCATTATCATCCTCAGATAATGGCATTCTGCCTTATGAGCAAAATTTATTACTCCTGAAGTATGCGTACCAAGATGGTGACACCGGAACGTAGTATGCATACCAAGATGATGACACCGGAACATAGTATGCGTACCAGCTTAGGGTTAGGCCATAATTTTATTCCAATTTTCCCTATTTTAGTTCTATTACGAGTTTAGGGACTAGCCAAGTGACTCCTGTAGTATTTGTACCTCAATTGATGGTTTAACCGTAACCTGGTACACATATTACATTCCGGTATCCACCATCTTTGTACGCATTCTTCAGAAGCGCCCAAAATCCAACATTTTTTTCAGGTTCGGAACAGACAATCTTATCTTAAGAATAACGGAGATGGAATCTGTCATGCTTGAATTGTTACGATCACTGGACCGTGAAGCGTTGTCGTTGGAGACAAGTTAACTCAAAATGAATATAAGCCTAATTAGTTCCGAAGTATAAATTCAGTATATTGGTCTTTTCATCTGTGTATTTTTTAATTCAACTGTACTTAAATTGAAACAATGATCAACAAATATCATTCAGAGAGTCCCCCTCCCCCCCCCCCCAAAAAAGGGCCTGGTTGTATTTTACGCTGATCTACAAGTGTAGTGCCCAGATGATCACCATGACGCACCTTTTTGATGAAGCAATGAAACATTTCAGTGACTCGTTGAATCCCAGTGCAATACTTCAAATATCTTTTATTGCTCGAATTGTATATATATAAAAGCAAACCTGATTCTCAATGTGTAGCTGGTTTAATAATAGTGACAAACTTCATAAGTATTTGATAAGGTGCTCTTGAAGTATGTGAACCAACATGGCGGACTGGAACCTAGTATGTTTACCAGGATAGGGTTAGGCCATAATTTCAGGTACAAATACTACGGGAATCACTTGGCTAGTCTCTGAACTCTAATACAACTAAAATGAAGAAAATAGGAATCAAATTATGGTCTAACCGTAATCTGGTACACATACTGCGTTCCGGTGTCCGCCATCTTGGTGCACATACTTCTGGAACGCCTTTGATAATATTCAAACAATAAACATATATCATTATAAACTCTTGGATTTGAATGGGACACTTAGTCACTGAAAAGCTACTTTTTTTTCAATTTTGTCCCGAGTCGTATGAAATCTGATATTTCACTCAGTTTATCCTGTTATTATTCATGGGAACACCTTTTTATTGCGTGTGGCAACACGTTGCTCCGTTACACTTTTTCGCCAATCTTTTCAGCAAACTTGGTGCTCTGCTCTTACTGTACTGACATTATTATTTGAGTCCGGATTTTTTGCCAAAATTTCTGTGCAATATTTTCTTATCACTTTGTATTTATCTAATTTTACCTCTTTGATTTGAAAGCGTTGATTATAAGAAATCAGTTTGGCGTCAAAAGTTGTATTCGTTTCATATATTCATTTGAATTGCCTCCTCCATAGAGGGCTGTTGGACTGTCATATAGACGGTATGTTAGGAATAGGCAGTGGCGGCGCGTGGTCATTTTGACAACCGGGGCAAGCTACTGCGGGACCAAGTCACCCCCATCTACGGGGACAGGATGAGCGCTGTAAGTTCTCTCATCATTTTATGAGTATAAAAACCATTCCATCGGTAACAACCAATCGGCAAAAGCGATAATTTTTAACGATAAGAAAGTGTCTTTGAAACCGGTCCAAGTCAAGGGATTAATAAATATAGACATAGTTTATTTTGAAACCTCTTTCAAAAGGAAAAGCAATAATTACCCAGATAAATACAATGACATATTAACAGAAACTTCGGGAAAGCAGACAAAACCTAAAATAAGGTTTAAAACGTTACTATGAAGAAAGGAAAGGTAATGCAAAGATAAGGACATGCGTCGCTCACTCATAGATATATATGCTGCTAGACTTCTACTGCTTGAACATATATGCAACACGCCGCGGTTTCTTGGAAGCAAAATGCTCAAAAACGCGCTGATTAAAGTCATGCATCCCAGAAATAACATCTCTGTGAATGGATAAAACAGCCAAGGAATTTAATCTATCTTGATTCATTGTGTTTCTGAGATACGTTTTAATACGCTTCAGCGTGCTGAATGTTCGCTCTGCGTCGGCGGAAGAAATAGGCGTCGTCAAAATGATGTCCAGAAATTTTGCAGACGCCGCAAAGGTAGTTACTAGAGTGTTATCTATGAGGAACCCATAGAGCGCGCAAGTTGATGTGATGTTCAAAAAAGTTTGATTGGTGTATATATATCGCAATTCATTTTCCAATTTACCCACGTTTATCATGGGGTAAAATTTGGAGACAGTAGCCAACAAATGGATGGGAAATTGACGTGCAAATTTTGAAAAATTTTTGGGGTTCATCAAAGAGAACGCAGCAAGGTGTTCAGTGCGCAGACGATCGCCTATTTGATTCACCAGAATGTCACAGCATTCCTTTGCAGACAAAATCAAACGCTGCGTTGTTTGCCCGCGGCGTAAAGAAGCACTCCATGTGTCGTCGTATTTTATTGTTTCCCGGATACGAGATACAGCATCGCAGAAGTCTGCACAGACGCTCCATCCATTAGCCTTGACTGCAATGCGCCGTATAATACATCCACGTGATAGAATATTGTGGAGAAAAAAGCGAGAAAAAATGAAAACTCATCATCTTCTAGCAGACGCTTTAGACCTGCCGCCTCCCTCACAGAGCGTTCGTCCCAAACCGGAGAGCTCTGAATGCCATTGAAACACTCAATGAGCTCAGACCTAATTTCGGACACGCCCTGCACCACGCGTGATTGGAAGTTCCAACGTGTTGGTGCACAAGCTGGGAAACGGCGGCTACATATCTGGCGAAGGAGGTCAGAGCGCTTCGGCGAAACGGAAAAAAATGAAGAAAACCCCGAAACATTTGCAAAAAATATACGGACGAGAGGGGTATCAAGACACATATTTTTAATAACGAGGTTAAATTGGTGTGCATAACAATGTAAAAAATGCGCATGAGGAAAATCTTCTTTTATATAAACTTGAACACCATGTTTCGACCCACTCATGACTGCCGCGCCGTCATAAGTTTGAGCTATCAATTTTGACTTCGCGTTGTAAGGCTGTAACACTTCTTTCAGTACAGCCGATATCCCGCAAGCCGTGCGATCAACGATTGGTACAAAGCCGTGAAATCTCTCGGTAGGTTTACAATCTTTCACAAACCGAAAAATCACAGCCAGTTGGGAAACGCACGTGATGTCAGTTGTCTCGTCAGACTGAATCGAAAGAAACTGGCAATTCTCAATTTCCAGAGCCAAATGTTGTAAATAAATTTTATACATTGAGTCGAGCAAATCATGTTGGATATCCTTAGATGTCCCTTTCGAAACAGTTGCGGCATCAAGATGATCTCTCAATACTGTATCTAGGGATGCGGTGTATTCCACCATATCCAAAAATACCCCTCTATTAGAAGAGCCAGCCCGTTCATCGTGCCCACGGAGGGACAGCTCGTGACAACCAATGAACTTCAAAACATCTATCAATCGACCTAGAACATGGCCGTTTTTTTCTCGACGTTTTGGTTGTGCCGACGAATAGAAACCGCGCGTCCTTCATCCAAATGTGCTGCAATGTTAACATTTCCGAATGTTCGGTATTTTACTGCATTGTCCAGATGCTCCATAGAAGATTGATGATCCCTGGCACGCTCGGAAAGATGTTTAAGATCTCTAAAACCAAATTTACACCAACGTGAGTCACGGGCGGTAGCCAAAAGTAGGCAATAAAAACAAAAAAGTGCATTTTTGTCCTCGCTGTAACACAACCATTCGTGCTTTTTATACCAAGTTTCTGCGCAGAATGTACGCCGACGCTTTCCTCCGTCATGGGATTGTTCCAGTGAACAATTTTTTGGTTGATAAGGCCCAAGACGTTGTACCTCTAATTTTTGTTCCAGCGGCAGCTGCGAAAACGGAGTGCGAAGTAGTGCATCAATCTTATTCATTATGAGGTCTAAGGCTAAGAAATGCGAAGCCGGAAAGAAGTGAGGAGTTCAAAAGGAATGTGGAAAATCGAAAGCAAATGGACTAAAGGTCTCTAACTGATTCAAATAGCGAGACACGCGACAAAAACGAAGGCGAGGAAACTATCAACTCTTCAAGCAACCAACGAACGAGAAGGAATGCGTGAATATGTCAACACGTTGTTGTAAGAAACGTCGGCATTGTGTCGTCATAATTTCGGGGCTAGCCCCGATCGGCCCCGATGATTTAGTAAAAGAAACAGAAAACAAACGAGACAACCGCGGCGAGTGGAAGATAAAAGAGAGAATACGATATACAATGAGCAACCGGGGCAAAATCGGCGTCGCCCCGTCGACGTTTGGCGAAGGCTTTGCGAGCGAAAAATGAACCATGTCGGGAGAATATGGCTAGTGTAGACAGTCTGTGCAACCGATATTGAGGTATTTTTCGAATATTTTTTATTATACCGAAAAAACAACCGGGGCATTGCCAACCGGGTTGGCCCTATTGACGCGCCGCCACTGGGAATAGGGATGGATATAAGGTCGCAATCGACATTTAAATGACCTCTTTCATACAGGGCTATTTGGCTGCCATAAAGACATGACAAACTACGACCCCCGGGCCAAATCCAGCCTGTTAAGTAATTCAATCTGGCCCGCCTTATGCAGCCACAACCAAACTAAATCCAAATTTTGATGTTTTGGTTAAAAATAGCTCAGGAATTTGTTGAGATTTATTTTTGGCATCTCGAGACTTATTGTTTTCCACTTATGCTTTTGTAACAATGAAAATATTGTTCATAAAACTTTATACGTCGCACATACATGGCCCGCCAGTCTAGATGGGCAAAAATTTTGGCCCCTGGTCCTCTGCTTTAGACAATATGGTTGGATTATGGTCCCAATCGCAAATCAAAATAAATTTACTTTCATCAGGTCTGTTGTCTGACTCGCCATCGGGTTTACGGTGCGTTTCCCACTGGGATTTGAAATAACATCAGCTGCTTCGGGAATTAAAAGACTGGCTGCTGAGATATCCAATTAGTATTAGACTCTTCCAAGATTAGTTTGCCTAGGATAAACATATCAAATTAGTGGTGAGCGATAACGGAATAGCAACCTAATCTAAGGTTAGATTGATACAGAACCAAGTGATACTGGATAGGAATACGGTACGTGGTGGGGCGATAACAGGGTGGTATAGTCCGGTGAGGCTATTGATCCACCTTCTGATAGATAAGAAATCGGAGAATTAGTCGTGGGGCGATATCAGGATATCGAAAAAGATTGGAAAAACACAGCTTTACACAGGGCCGGTTTATGGGTTTAGAGGCCCGGAACCATTGGTGCTCCATATGTGTAAAACAGTAAAAATGAAACTGGCGTTGTAAGATAAGTTTATTTCGATTCCATAATAAGCTTAAGAGGCGGTTTAAGCGGTTAATGGAAACAAAAATTGATTATGAAAACCTTGGGTTCAAAACGTACAGAATATAAAATGGAAGGTTTTGCCAAGAAGAAGTGGTGCGTGTTCACTCGCCTAAAATTATTGAATCAAT